TGTGAGGTTTACCATGGAGACACACTACCCAACCCGTTGCCTGCGTCTCTGAGGTGTTCGTAGCAGTAGGCCTCGGATGATGGGCGATTGGCAGCATTGTATGACATTGTATGACTAAGGGCGATTTATCAGCACAACCAGCCGCACGGAGTTCTGAGGCTGCTGCGCAGCTTTAACTTCTTCTGCGGGCGGACTGTTGGCGATTGCCTTAAGCGCAGAAAGCGAGGAAAGTGCGCCAGCAGCCCAAATTGCAGCCGGAGCCACGGGTGTCTTCGTTTCCTCCTCCTTGTTTTTCTTCGTGTCCGCTTTTTCATCCGAAGATGTCTTCTCGGCCTTCGGCCACCACACAAAGTTTGCAGCCAGAGCAGTGCGGCTTGGATTCGGGCCGAGGATGCCTGCATCTGGCGCGACTTTGGTTCCGGCTGCACCCTCTCCCTCTGCTTTGGCTGCCGCCTGATCCATCGTTGAAGAGAAATAGGGCGGCAGCTGAAAAGAACGACATTGAAAGAACATGGCACTGCAAACTGCAAACTGCAAACTGCTGAACGAGGTGTCAAGCTGCTCTGCGGGCTTCCTCTCTGCTGGTTTCGGCTTCTCAGCTTCACGTTCTTCCTCGCTCTCATCCTTCTCGCTGCGATTCTCCTGCCCCAGCTCCCCAGCTTGCAGGAGATTCTATCAAGTTCTTCTCAAGTCTCTAGGTTCCATGTGCGGCCTCTCTGGCAGCTGTCTCAGCTTCAGCTGCCCGCCTCGCCTGAAATCATGGCAAGGCACAGCGCCCTTTGAAACTCATTGCTGCGTCTGGCCAGGCAGCCTCCTTTTGCCGCTTCCTCTGTTGACGCCGGAGCTGGGATGGGGTGAGCGTCTGGCGCAAAGACTTTGCCTTCCGCAAAATAACACAATGCGTGCTTCCCTGCAAAAAGCTTACGAATGCTCTTGCCTGTGGCGGCTGCTCACCTGGCTCCTGCAACAGAACGTGCGCTTACGGTGTGCTGTGGAAGGGACTCGACAGCGCCCCGACAACATCTCGCAGAATCTTGCAGTCTCGTCGCTTTGTCGTGCTGCTCGTCCTTGGCCTCCGCACAACTCGGTACGA